ACCCGTAGTGTCTCAGTTTGCTCTGTATGCGATCTATCGTCGCGTCAGCCAATTTGTTGGTCTTAAAGTCGGATGTCCACAGAAGCATTCTTTCGGCTTACCAACACTTTGTTGAAAACTTTACTTGTCACTGGCAGTAGCGTGTTCCCTCAGTAGTTCTCGCACTCACTAAGGTCTCCTTTCTTCGGTACGTTGGTGAAGTATCCTTCTCCAGTCTGTTAGTACCTGTTCTCCATTCCAAATCATTCTGGAGAGAACGTGGAGCAGGTTTGCAGTTGCCTTCATATCTGATTGAAGTGCCCCAGCTAGTATGCTGTCCAGTCCAACTATTGCTATGGCATTCCTGAATTGTCTGGTGCATTGAGAATTCCTTTGATTGTTGGCGGGGCTGCCTCAATGTTGGCTGTGCTCAGCGATGCCGACCAATTTGATAGGTCTTCACGCTACTCTACCTATCTATCTCGCTGTTGTTGATCCCCAGTGATTGGTTTGCCTTCTTTTTTCCCGACTGACTGCTCTGGTTCTCTGTATTTCCCTCCAAGCTTCTTCACCGCATCGAATAGCTCTTACATGTTTCCTTCTCTTACAGCTTGTTTTACTGCAATTGTTAGGTCTTTATGTATTTCTGCCAGTCGGTTCCGATATTCTTCGCCACCCATCTGTTTGCTTCTGTATATTCGATCTGAGAGTAACTTCCGCTGCATTCATTCGGCTGTTTTTAACAGGTGTTTTCTCGAAACCCCCCCCCTGAATCTTACCCAGTGTGTTAGTAGAGATTCATTGTATGCTTTGATGCTTCGTTGGACCCATCACTTCTTTATTCTCTTATCAGTTGTTCTCCATGGTGGTTTCGTCTTCTAGTAGGCTTTTTAAGTCTTGTGACTAGATACTGAGAGCTATGTTAAGCTGTCTGAACTTGGGAGCATCTCGAAAAAAGTCTGTAACAAACTTGTGTAGTGGTGCTTGCTCAGGTGTCCAGTGATTCTTTAGCTTCAGTTGTGACGATTTACAAACCTCATTCAGAGTGATTTTTGTCATTCACTCAAGCTTTTTAATGTTTTACATTCGTAGTCAGTGATGATGAATCATAGATCTGATGAAATAATGTGTAGTATGATTGGAAATCCTATGCTTCTTGATATCAGTATCCATAAATGTGTGATGAGGCAACCATAGGTTATGCACTAGCATGAATTAGCTCTTATTCAGTGGGGGAGTCAGGGAATTTTCGTCTTTTTATGTAGCTGAATGAGCTGCGACTGTGTGGACATTAAGTTGTTGCACAGAGAAGATAAATTTATCCTCTAACATCTACATGATTTTAGCTATCTACTCACTATACTACTTAATAATTATAAGTAGCTATAATTGTATCCAAGTACATCATTGCAGTAGCAATTGTGACGAATACCAACAGTTATTATGAGAACTTCTTGTAGCATTGATTTGTTTTAATCATGCCTCGGGCTAGAATCTTATTTTCTCCTTCTGAGGACGCTACAATCTAGGCCTTTTTTTTTTACCTTCAATGAATTGTCTACTCTCCAGTGTTGGGTATCCATTGGATTCCGTTAACTACTGGTATCCATTTCTGACTACGAGTGTAGTTTTCTGGTTTATATTTACGCTCTATAATTCCATACTTATAGACTTATCTGGAGGAATAATTTTCCCTTTGATAGAAGAACGTTCCCCGAGTCCATAATGATTCGAAACTTGCGGGTTCTTCGTACCTTTTCTGTATATGTAAATTATTGAAGGTTAATTAGCTTACATATGCAACTCAATTATCAGGTTAGAATCTTTATGAATTGCTCTCAGAGCGATCTAATTGATGTATGTTAGAATAAAGCTAATAGCTATGTACCAACGACGACGTCAATCAAGTTTTATATAATTCATCCTTCAGTATTGTGGTCCGACGTTTCATTTGTTTTTAATATTAAGTACGGGATATTTCCAACGACATTCACCAAAACACCAGATTCTGTGGGAGAACTTTTAGGAATATTGGGTTTTCAGTCAGATGAAATATCCAACGTGAATTATCTATTCGTCATTCACCTAAATCCATATTACGTTAATTATTTAAGTGTCTAGGAAATAAGCTGCTTAGTTAAAACAACTTCGCATTCAAATTGCTGAAAATGTCTAGGGTATACATAATCGAAATTACAATTAAATCCAAATATGACCCGGGTGTACGAAGCAAGTTCACAGAGTACTTACTTACACCTATTGCTCCCGATGACGCATAGGCGGACGACCAGCATTCTCCAACCTACTCCGTCCTGGGCCTTCGTTTCCAGTCCTATCCAATTTTTTTGTCTCCATTTCTCAGCTTAATGTGTTCTTGGGTCTTCCTCTCCTCATTTGACCTTGAGGATTCCATGTGAGGGCTTGCCTTGTGACGCAGTTGGGCGCTCTCCTCAATGTGTGTCCCATCCACCTCAGCGCTTCTTCCTTATCTATGCCTCCACTGGGATCTGGTTTGTTCTCTCCCATAGTAGGCTGTTGCTGATAGTGTATGGCCAGCGGATCCGAAGTACTTTGCGTAGACAACCGTTAATAAACACTTGTCTTCTGGATGATGGCTTTCGTAGTTCTCCACGTTTCCACCCCATATAGTAGAACTGTCTCAACATTTGTGAAAATTCTGACCTTGGTGTTGGTTGACAATTGTTTTGAGTTGCAGATGTTCTTCAGTTGTAAATATGCTGTTCTCGCTTTGCCGATCAGCACCTTCACATCTGCATCAGATCCATAGTGTTGTCCTGTCCCCTCTATCAAATGCTTTCTCATAGTCAATGAAGTTGATGTAGTGGTGAATTCCATTCAATTGATTGTTCCACAATGATCTGTAGTGTTGCAATTTGGTCTGTACACGATCGATCCTTACAGAATTTAGCTTGCTGGTCTCGAAGTTGGGCGTCTACGGAGTCCTTCATTGTTTAGCAATACCCTGCTGAAGACTTTTCCCGGTATTGAGAGGAGAGTGATGCCTCTGTAGTTATCACACTTGCTGAGATCGCCTTTCTTTGGTATCATGATCAGATGTTCTTCTTTCCAGTCTGTTGATACTTGTTCTTCATCCCAAATCTTGCTGAAGAGAATGTGGAGTATCTTTGCAGTTACTGCTACGTCTTCCTTCAGCGCCTCTGCTGAAACATTGTCTGGTCCCGCTGCTTTGCTGCTCTTGATTTGTCTGATGGCCATACTAATCTCTTCAATTGTTGGTGGCTAACATCGATTGGGAACTGCTTTAATGTTGGGTGGGTTCTGTGGGGCTGGTCGATTCAAGAGTTATTTGAAGTGCTCTACCCACCTGTTTCGCTGTTCTTTAATGTTGGCAATTACTTTGTCTTTCACTGGTCGTTCTGGTTTACGATAATTTCCAGCGAGCTTCTTTGTTGTATCATACAATTGTCTCATGTTTCCTTCCCTTGCAGCCTTTTCCGCCGTCATTGCTAGATCTTCCACATATTTACGTTTGCCGGTTCTGATGCTCCTCTTCATTCCCTTGTTTACTTCTGTGTATTCAGCTTAAGTTCATAAGGTATCAGACGTTTAATTACTGTTGTGTAGGAATCACACATTTTCTATCCCAAGAATGAGCACATTTTGTAGGTGTTTTAGACATCGTAAGTAAATTCGACTTAATCGGAAAGAAATTAATCCTAATCTGTACATTGCTCTTAAAATTTGTAGACTATGTAACTACTTCGGTGGCTGTTCTTTCGAAAGACACCACATTAGGTAATCGTATTATGTTCTCAAGTACGGTAGATGTACTGCAGTATCCAGCTGTTCTTTTGAACGAACTTTGTGCATGAAATCTCGATTTTGCATTTTAACACTCATTGTTTTAAAACACAATGACCATTTTTAGTTAAGAAATGACTGTGAAGACTTGACAGATTGATATCTATCTACAAGTTAGAGTGCCCTTTGTTGGTAATAAACAATATGCCTCCAAATGCCCTGGTACAGTCGAGAGTGGGGAGAGTCCGCTCCTCCTCTCGAAATGCTCTCACACGGCCTCGCGTATATAGCCTCTGCCAGGGAAGTCCTACTCACTGCCTTCTCGTGGCGGGGGTGTTGTTTACGAAAATGAGAGGACGAAAAGCGAATGTCTGGCGCTTTAACCGGAACCCAAACCAATGGTGCACATAGGCTCCAGTATCCTGCGGGAACAAATGGCGAATGAACCAATCGTTGGTCACCGGCTTCCATGGGACTGCATCTCCTTACGATGCTCCACTGCCTTGTGGATCAGACCCTCAGGTCGAAGGCTCGGGGTGTGGCCCCCTAAGAAAACCACCCGCTTCGGTCTGGGCACCCGGGCAGTATCACAGCCCTCACACATATCGAATGAGATTTGTGTGGCGCATATGTATTTGGTGACTCTTTGTACCAATATCTATCTGTTGAAATAAATAATTAATAAACAATATGCATCCGTTCATTTCAATACGATTTCACAAACAAAAGATTTTATATTATCGTGAATTACTAGTCCGAACATACTGGGACGAGATCCTGATTAGTTCCTATGGCCAGGTAAACTTCCAATTGAGTTTACTTTTATGGAAACCAGTGAAATTCGGAATCGAACTCTGACAATGACAGTAAGTAAACTAATGAAATAATCTTACATGTTCACTTTTTTAAGCTGTTCTAGTTAGCTAAAATAAAGCAGTTATCTCCCCCATATTATCCTGATTGTAATAATAACGAACTATGAAATCCATGACCAGTTTCAAACCATACAATATGAATGCACGCAATATCGCATGGTTATCTAGATCAGAGTAAATAAGACGAGGTAGTTCAGGCACTGTTCCTAAAGTATTTTGACCAATGATGGTTTTACACTCCATGAGGTATTGAAATATCAATATAAGCATTGTAGAGAAGCTAATACAATTGAAGAATACAGAATTTACACACCCTAATACTGAGTATTGATTTTAATGATCTGCAGTGTGAACAAAACAAACTACGAGTAAATAAATTTTATATTTTATCAAAAATATTCTATTCAAAAAACTGTTGACAGGGTTGACGACTGAGGTCAGTACTGTACAAAGTCCTCTTACTTATTTCTCAGCAGAAGTAGTTTATGGTTGGAATTTACCATAACATTAACATAATGGTATGGATTATAAAAACCACAATAATATTTCTGATGAGATTCATAATGAAAATATATGTAAAAGGATCAACTATTAATAGTATCACCAGTAGCCGGTACTTCGGCTAAATTCGTGCTACAGTGATCTTTGGCAGATACAGATAAATTTGAGCAATTAACAGAAGAAACTTCACTCGGTACAGTCAATCTCCATAATCCAAAGTCACTTCCAACAACAGTTTGCCACAAACGAACAGTGCCATCTTCACTACCGCTTGCAAAAACGTGTCCATCAGGAGAAAATCGAACACAATGTAGAGGGCCAAAATGTCCCTTGCAGGTTTCTAGGATAAAGAAATAAAAGATAAACTAACTAGATAAACGTTAAAGCTGGATTGTAAAGTAGACTATTTAGAATACTGAATGACTTAGATTTATTTGACTCGAATATATACTGATTGGAAGAAAGATGCACAAACCATAAAATGCTTTTTCTAATGACACAATATGAAAAATTATTTTACCACAAAACTGTTATATAATGTCACCATATTTCTTCAAAAATTACTCTGAATTTTAAAGGGAAAATAACAGCCATACGGCTTTTAAAATTATGTATATTACACCTTGAAAACTATTTTTTGTCTAGTAGTCAATGTAAAATATGGATATCATTTGTATCTAGATCATTTACTTATTTTAACATATAGATATTGGTACAAGGAGGCACCAAATAGATATGCGCCATATAAATCATTCGGTTTGTGTGAGGGCTGTGATACTGCCCGGGCGCCCAGATCTAGATCATTAATCAACTCAAAAATTAGACTCATCTGGATATAGAATCAAATCTGATTAATCGGCAAGTCTCTATTTCATGACACCTTCACTTAAGAGGTAACGATATTTGTCTTTTGATCTGCCAGTCAGCTACAACGTAGGACCAGGCACATATATGCATCGGTCCAAGTTGCCACATCTCTTTAGCACAAGATGAACGTCAAATTCATAGTAGTTACTTCAATGGTAGTAATATACAAATGAAAAATAGTGTATAAAGATATAATACAGGAATAATGAATTAGTTCGTAGAGAGAAAGGTATAAAGCAATTTTAGTCTTGCGGTTTAAGGGAATACAAAGATTGTATACACCTACACCATTGTGATCGATTCTGAATCATGTCACCCAGAGTCTCTGATGTTACGATAGTCATGTGGACCCCAACCAAGTAATCTGCATCTACCAACATGGCTAAGACTAGAGGTTAGTGACTTTAAGGACTGATGCCACATTTTGGTTTGGTCGTCCATAACTTTCTTTCAACCTGATATGATGGGAAGAAAAATCAGTTTTCGATTGATTTACTCATTATGAGTCTTATTCAACATTACTTTCCTTCTAATTCAATGTGATGATCATTCAAGGTAGTATTTTTCCTTTGTCGTATGATATTTTATTATGTAATAATATACGATATTCTTGTATTATATTGACATGAACTATACTCAGTATGTGATTTGTTATAACTAAGTATTTTTCATATGTGATTTTATCCTAATTATTAATCAAAATGCGTGTAAAATCAATATCTAAACCAGTGTATTTTTTTAGAAACTATTTTGATCATCATCGTCGTCGTGTCTTGGAGCTAATAAATAATCACTTATACCAGTCTTTTTGTTCTTACTTCGCATCGTGGGAATTGCAGAGGTCCCTCTTTCCGAATATAAGTGATCAGCGATTTTTCCGGCACAACACAATCGTCCCTAATACTAGTCAGCATTGGTTTTTGATGTAAGTCATATGCTTATTAAGCGTTTCCCCGACCGAAGCTGCTACCTTGACGCGGTGGTCGGGCTTGCCTATCGTGATGACCCAACCGAGCTATATTGGCTGGAACATATGTTCCTGTAGGTTCTACCATGCCAGGCAGGTCGATTGGTGAACGGTAAGACTAAAAGCAGCAACTCAAGGTCTGAGGGCGAAGTCGTACTGCTGACTGTAGAGAGGTGTGACAGCAGTAAGGTGTTTCCCTCAGACAACCAGCATGACAGCGATGCTGCCTTCCCACAAGGAGGGGTGGGGTTAGAAAAGGTCGACCCTAAAAATGTCACACCTCACCTTACCTCACGGATTTCCGTCTCCGGCGGTAAGGCCCTTTGAAGAACGGAGCTAACACGTCAAAATCCTTCCACAAAAAGGCCGTGCGCGATCGGTCTCAAGCAGTTGTCCCTTGGGCTCTGCGGTCACGCTCCCAGGTCGTCAAGACCAACACTAATGCAATTTCCTTTTCAGGTTCCTCAAGAAATACCCTTCCACGGTGTGGGCAGCCGGGAAGTGACATCAGCCCTCATATCCGTAACAGCACACGAGACCAAGTTGGTCACATTCAAATCCTTCCTACACCTCCTAATACCTCTCTTATCTCCATGACTAACCCTCCTCATGTCTCTTTATCACATCGCACCGCTAGGGCAAACGATTCGAGTACGTGGAACGCTATTCCTGGTCTCCTGAAACCACGCTATAAACTACACGTCCGAACACTGTGCCAAATAGGACAGCAGGCTTCCTTAGCTAGGACTTTAGAATCTCGCGCCATCGATGTGTGCTGCGTCTCCGAAACGCACATACAAGATCCGAGTAGCGTCATTCACTTGACTACACCATGCCAAAATAAAGAACCGACTCGATTTACGCTTCGTGTATCTGGAAGCCCTGATTCTGCTTCCCGTGGACTCGCCGGCGTAGGTATAGCATTGAGTCCCAGAGCAGAACTAGCTCTCTTAGAGTGGATCCCAGTAGACAGCCGTTTGTGCGCTGTCCGACTGAACGGAACAGTAAGAATCCGGAAAGATAGGGACACCCGTCGTTGCCTCTTCGTCGTTTCTGCCTATTTTCCCACTGACTGCAGCTCAGATGATGTAAAAGATGAGTTTTACAGAAAGCTTTCCGACCTTCTCCGAAAAGCTAGGCGCTCTGATGTAATAATAATGGCCGGTGACTTTAATGCTCAAGTAGGTAAACTAAGCGAAAAGGAAAGACACCTAGGTGGATCTTATGGTGTCGTGGCTCAAAGAACAAATAATGGCGACCGTCTGTTGCAGCTATGCTCAGATAATCGCCTGTTTCTTGCAAATACCAACTTTAAGCATAAGGAAAAACATCTTTTAACATGGCGACCCCCAATTCGTCCCAACGTTGGACCCAAATAGATCACATCGCTATCAGCCACCGATGGAGGGGCTCGATAGAAGACTGTTGCTCATTCTGGAGCACATGCTTAGATTCAGATCATGCTCTAGTGCGAGCGCGTATTTGCCTGCGTCTTACTGGACGTAGGAAAGACGCTGCAAGGAAACCTCTTAGGGGCCTACTTAATGATAGTCAAGCTAAGAATAAATTTCAGGAACAACTAGGAAAACAGTTAGGCAGCCATGTATGTGATGCCCACCCCGATGCAGCATGGAATGATATTTGAAAAGCTGTGGAAACAGCAGTGATATCTGCTAGTAAGGTAAACCTGAAGGTTAGGGAGCAACACTGGATCTCAGCAGCATCTATCGCACTGATAGATGCTCGGAAACTCATTCCACCTGGCTCTGAACATAGTGGAGAGCGGAGTCAGATTAAGCGCAAGCTGACAAGAAGTCTACGCAACGATCGCGAACAGTGGTGGGTAGCGAAAGCAAGAGAGATGGAGAAGGCAGTGGCAATAGGTAATAGCAGACAATTGTTCAGACTCGTTAAGGAAACCGGAATTAGGAACCCGACCGTTAGCGAAACAATCTCAGAGAAAGATGGACATATTATTCATTCCCAATCCAGGAGATTGGATCGATGGGCAGAACACTTCAGGGATCAGTTCAACTGGCCTTCAGCCACACCTCGGTTTCCCACGATCCCCAGTCAACCTGAATGGCAAGTTAATGTAGGTCCTCCGTCTCTTTACGAACTTGAAAAAGCCATAGGAAATCTGAAACGAGGGAGAGCAGCAGGCCCTGACAGGTTTACTCCTGAGATTTTTAAGGATGGTGGTCCAGTATTAGCAATGAGATTAACCGAGGTCTTAGGTAGAATTTGGGAACTGGACCTAATCCCATCTGACTGGTCTCAATCACTGATTGTGCCAGTCTATAAGAAAGGACAAAAGTCCTCTTGTGACAATCATAGAGGAATCAGTTTGACTAATATAGTGTCTAAAATATTAACCTCAATAATACTTCGACGCCTAACCAAAGCTCGTGGAGAACAGACTAGAGAAAATCAGGCCGGTTTTCGACCTGGACGTGGTTGTATAGATCAAATATTCACACTACGTTAGGTTCTAGAACACAGACACACGTTTAGACGCCCCACAATGGTAGTATTTCTCGACCTTAAGGCGGCATTCGACTCTGTTGATCGTAAGGTTCTATGGCAGTGTTTGTCACTGAAAGGAGTACCAAAGAAGTACATTAACCTTATTCAGGCTCTCTACTCGAACACAACTGGTAGGGTGAGAGCTTATGGCGAACTGTCATCAGAATTGATTACCTCAAGTGGTGTTCGTCAGGGCTGTCCACTCTCCCCATTCTTGTTCAACTTTGTGGTTGACGTACTTTTAGAGATAACACTTTCCTCATCTAAATTTCCAGGGGTTGAACTTCTACCGGGAGGTTCACTTGTTGACTTAGAATATGCTGATGACATTGTTTTATTTGGTGAAGACGCTGACAAAATGCAGAGTCTTCTGACCACTCTAAGCAACAATGCAAGCATGTTCGGGATGCGATTCTCTCCCTCGAAATGCAAAATGTTGCTTCAGGATTGGGCTACATCGACACCCGAACTAGTGATAGGGAGTGAAGTAGTTGAGTGTGTCGACCGCTTCACTTATCTTGGAAGTCTCATCAGCCCTTGTGGTCTGGTGTGTGACGAAATCTCAGCACGGATACAGAAGGCTCGACTAGCTTTTGCCAACTTACGTCATTTATGGCGTGGGCGAGATATCCGTCTATCAACCAAAGGACGGGTTTACTGCGCAGCAGTACGTCCCGTCCTACTTTATGGCAGTGAAACATGGCCGGTAAGAGTAGAGGATATTCGTAGGTTACTAGTATTCGATCATAGATGTCTTCGAAACATTGCTCGTATATCATGGGACCATCGAGTAAGTAATGCAGTTGTTAGGAAACGGGTACTAGGTAAGGATGGCAAATCAATTGATGAAGTAGTGAAACTTCATCAGTTGAGATGGCTGGGACACGTGTTACGTATGCCCAACGACCGACTGCCTCGACGTGCGATGTTCAGTGGTATAGGAGTAGGTTGGAAGAAAGCTAGGTGCGGCCAGACCAAAACATGGCACAAGTCCATGAAGTCACTGACAAGTGGTCTGAGTCATGTTGATAGGTGTAGACTACCTGGTTGGGGACCGCGAGATGATAGCAACCGATGGTTAGAGACCCTGAATGACATGGCTCAAAATCGTTTGCAATGGCGCAGGTGCATCCACTCTTTGTGTTCTCCCAAATTCTAATCTTCTGAATTTTTCATATCCCTTTTTTCCTCTTTCCAAATTTATTTCACTGAATTATACTCTTTAAATAACATCTCCAAACCCTAATCTTCCCGATCACTGCTTACGCTCTTGCTACCTCTACCACAATGGGATTTGAATCGACAACTGCATCTCTGTGTTAAGGTGGTGTGGCAACTCGAACTGATGTACGTACGTACGTACGAAGTTCGACGTTGTTATTGACTGACTGACTGACTTATTAAGCGTTTCAATTACAAACTGTTGTAGTAGTTCATCATGTAAAGGTATCTCACATTTATTTGGGAATTTCTCAAGCGAACCAAATTTTACTCCAAATTGATATGGATGGTCACATGATCCCGAATAGTTTGCGAAACCTATTATTTTGAATGTAAATGAGTTATATTTTATAGGCTTATTAAACTGCTCAATACTTATTGTGTTGTCGACGTTTTAATATGGTAATTAATTGTTCTGTTTTGATAAACATTGAAAATACACTTCTACGCTTGTTTTCCATGGGCGGATTCAACAAATTTTTTTAGCTCGATTCGTTCATCGCTTATGGTAGTTAAAGTTATAAATACTCATTTAATTCATCGGATCACAACACTGTACCATAAAATACTCAGAAATAATTTAATATAGTAAAGGATCCTAGAATATTACCTAATATTTCACCAGTTTCCGAATTTAATCGATATATTATGTGATCATCTCCACCACATACAAGTAATTTTTTAGTGGGATGCAAGCTGACAGAATTTACTGGACACGATAGACTGAATTTCGGGAAAGCTTCAGGTGCTTCTACCAAGTTGCTATAACGCCAGTCAAACGTATAAGTCTGAATTGAGTTTCCACATGCTACCACAGCTTTCACTTGATCTTCATTATAAGGGATATGGAATTGAATATCGTTGACTGGGTCTGATAATTCCTTGGACCATATCTGATGAACTGCAGCTGGCTTCAGAATATCTCGGAGATCCCACAAGCTATATGTATGAAAATATGTCAAACCGTTAATATTCTGCACAGAATGTGATAATAAAATCAACACACAAGGAATACGGGAAATGACTACTAAGTAGAGATCAAATTCGTCATGACCAGTGATATTTGAAGTTCGTAGACTGATAATTACGACGTATTGACTCAAATGGAAGTACATAAGTACACTACTTATTTGCTGCTGGATTTTCGTGAGGCCATGAGGATTGCTTGCGGCTTCGCGAAATACCTCGCTTATAAGCATTAAATTTAAATAAACTCCTTACAACTCGTTGAGGCACATCGGTCTACTTCGGCTAACCTAGAAATAGACTTCCGTAGTAAAACTGTGTAAAATTTACGTCAGGACCGAAAAGCCTGATGGTTGGAGCATGTTAACGAGTTGGAAGCAGCAACTATATCCGATAACTCCAGGAAGCTCTTTCAATTCATTCGAGCCACTGAAAAAATCTGGTGTGAGTGAACAACCTGTTGAGCTGATCAAGCTTCAACGTCTTCGACGACGGGAAGAGTTCATCGGTAAACAGTTCAGCTGGTCTGTTGTCCTGGCAACATCGACCAGACTATTTCGTCTTGCCTATCCTGTATCAACTGGCCAGACAAACGAAGTGAAAATCCGCAAGGAACTCCAACTCCACCAGACCAAGCTAAGTTACCTCCGGGCCTTTTTAAGGACGGTCGTGGCCATCCGGTAAGGGAACTAACTGACTAGGTTGTTTGGAAGCGTTTGACAACTAGTGTTTCAACAAAAGAGAACTTCTCGGACTGAATGAACCTTTACTAGACGTGCTTTTTTCAACTGCTTCCTCCGTTATTTCTCCACTCTTGCTTCCCAATTTTTATTTATCTTCCTTCGTTTGTATTATACTTATTTTCCTTTCATTACCTATTCAAAATTTTATTTTCATTGTGGTGCAAATACATTTTGGTGTCCCTTTGCACCAACATTTGTTTAAACAAATTTTACTGATTAACGTGAACAGGGTGTAAAATCAAACATATCTACTTCCTACTAAAGAACGGATTTTACGCTGTCAACACTAGAGTGAAGATCGGAAGTTTAAGGTCTCTTTACATTAAATCTTTCATTAGCCCAGATTAATAAGTACATATAAAAGTTGAAACATAAGATGTTGACCATTGGTTACTCTGAATTTTATTTTATCAGCTTTTGTGATTTGCTATATAATGTGATAACCCAAACTTTTCTGTTTGATTTTACATTACATAAATCATCTGCATACCTGTATCGATGTTCTATTCTAATAAGGCCATTATAAAATGAAGGGCATAAGCGAATAGTAAACGCAAACATTTACTGCCCATTACGTTACGTGTGTGGAGCATAAATATCTGGTGCCCCCTTGCACCAATATTTGTGTTCAAATAAATAAAAATAAATATTCTAGGACGTGCTTTTGAGCAGAACTGAAACATAATAAGATGCAAATTCTTCACCAGTTACATCTGAATTAACTTGTGAGACCCAAGTACATACTACCTACATATTTAACAAAAAACTAAACTGATGCTCTAACCGGATAGTTTTATCCTCCGATATGGATAAAGCAAGTTTATCTTCGCCACACCATAGCAGTCGACGAATTATTTGTTCATGTCCCCCGAATACGGATATGGCTAAATGAGGCAGATAAAAAACATGAGTGGTGGTAATGAGATCATAAAAATAATTTATGCAACACCAGATGAACAAAATCTCAAACACGAAAGTGAAATAATTTACGTGATTCAGGAGCGTTTAGATCATAGACAGAAATCTTTTTCCAGTTATTAGCAGTGAGTAATTTTGCGCCTGAGTCAGTTTTACTCAAGTCAACGCACCGAACAATATGATCTTGGGTGATTGAAAGGAGCTCCGAACCGGAGTTTGCATCCCATACTTTGGCAGTGAAATCCGCCGCCCCTGTAGCAGCCTTAGTAGCATGTTTATCTAAGACACATGACCAGACAGCTCCTTTATGACCTAAAAATGTTCCAATCCAATCTCCTGTATCACCTTGGCGTAGAATTGCTTTACCATCTGAAATAAAAGAATAAACGAAATTAAGTGATTTGTGTTCTGAAAAACAAAACAAAACAAAAAAGACACTGATGGCATTTAAACACAAAATAAAATCTATTCAGACTAACTTTTATTGTACATGACAATTGCATTATGAAAGTAAGGTCACTTGACAATAACTTTTCCATAACTCGTCCTTTGAAGTAATCGATGGTCTACGGCTAGAATACGACCACTTGAAAGATTATGGTGAAATCCCAGTCTTTGATTTGAACTTAAGTGGAGGCTGATACCTTTCTGTTTACAATATATCAGATGATGAGACTTCAGATAGCTTAAGATAGATAAGTGGAGCAAAAGTTATTGTGGTCCCCCTTCAATCTGAGAATAGTTCTATAACTGCTAGTCCCCTATTGTTTTATTTTTTTGCCTTATTGTTTATTGATTGGTCTTTGCTGGGAAGGTGGTTATATGTTGTTTCTATTTGCTGCAAAATAAAGACTAGTAAAAATGTAAGGCGAATCAAAAACCTAACAAATGAAGAGTAAAACGCAGGATCTAAAAAACCTTGAGAACCCGGTTATATAATATGAAGTCGAGGTTAGTGAGGACCTAATAATAACCATATTGAAGTCGTGGTAATAAACCACCTAGCACGGACAACCAGTGCCTACAGTGTCTCTACTTCCTCACATATGAAAAGGGCTAAAATTGCCAAACTATGACTAGCCCCGGACTCCCCCAAGTCAAACCCTGAGGCCGGTCAAACCAACACCAAATTATTCAGAGGATGGATTGATGAACAGGCCCAGCAACTGAACCTAATGAAGCAGAAATTCGTCTATGAAGGTGCGGTAATTGTGAATCAAAGGTTAAGAGATCCTGAGTCCAAGGTATGTAGTCATGTGCGAGTATAGGAGATATGTTCTTAAAAATGAGCCACCTTATGGTCTCGGACTACTATTACAACACTCAGTAAGCGACATTTCTTAGTTTTTCAATATGTTGAAGATGAAATTCTATCTAAACACGTTCAAACTAATTGAGTAGTATAAAGAAAAACAGGTTGAAATATGTAAATAGACTATTACAAGAACCATAATGGTTTAAGACAAGTTTGTTAAATTGATTTAAAGACACAACCATTGAAACTGTCTAAAAGTCTTAACCACACACCATTTCACAGGGTTACTAGCAGATGGCTCAGCGGCAAGATTAATTTATGAATGAACCAATTAAATTGGTGTTAGTCTAGGATTTTGGTTCAAAACTTATTCATCACTAAGTTTAAACAGCATCTTAGCATCATGACTGATGTCCTTTTTTGATGGAAACTCTAAATCTAACTCCTAACATTAACCTCCAAGGTTACAACCTAATACTAACTAATTTATGGCCCATTTTTGAACCTTGTAAATAGGTGTACTTTTGCAGGGTTCTCAATCTCCCTACTTTGGGGAAACCGCTATGGGAAACTTTTGGAAGATGGCACAAAAACCCAAAAATTTTCCCTAAGATAGTGAGATTGGGTTTCGCCACCTCCGGTTAATGGATTCCCATCTGGAATTGACCGGTGGACTGGACACAATTACGTTCCAATTATCAGATATTCTGGTTAACGGCATTAAATTGTGAACCATTAACATTTATCTCTATCATAAGTCGAGATTACTTGAGCATAGTTAAAGAATTTGTATGAACACCATCCAGTCCCGTTTAAAATACGTACCTTTTGAAGCAGTGATGAAAAGATGTCCGCAATCTGTCTCTCCGCTATAACAGATATCAACAACCGGACGTGAATGTCCAGGACAGTACACAGGTGACTGCTTTGGATTCTGGATCATAACACGCCGGACAGTATTATCGACCCGGCTGGTTGGCCTTGAGGAAATATCGTCTACCGTTTAAAACTACAAATACAACAAATAAGTGTAAAATATCAACAAAATCAATTCGACAGAATAATTTCAAATGACTATGAACTGAATAAGAGCTTTAACTAAATGGGCTTTTCATGTACATCAACAAGAAGTCGGCGATACCTACAAGGACTCTAAGATTTTAGCGGTAAATAAATCCAAAATATAACTAGTTCTGTAAGCCTTCGAAATTAGTCTTGACCTCAATAATTTTACTGGACGCACTCCTGCTTAGGGAGTTTGGTTATACGTCCTCATTAGATTATCATACAGTACGTCATGCCACTCAACCCTGGCAACGACTAGCCAGCTTGGACCAAACACCTCTTAACATACTGACTACCTTCTAGGTATATCTCCAAACTCCTGCATTCATAACTTCTGGTTTAACTAGGTGTTGGATCCTTTGGCCATACATGTGTTACAGATAACAGCATTGTCAAGCCCTGAATATCCATGACGTCTCGAAGGTAAAACGATCACAATCAGATGCTGTAATAAACCCGTTCCAGTTTTAGCATGATAGGTGGAATAAATTTAATATGATCATTTTTCAGATCAATAGATTCTATTCGTTGGACACTGTGAAAGTAGTTAACATAAACTTAGTATGTAATTAATTCTCTATGATTTTAAAAAAATCCTTATTCGTTGAGTAGTTCAACAGTCCTCTGTAAAGTAGTTTGTACCTTCCCACACATACAAAACTATGTTGCTGGGAGGAGATAAAAACCTTTTCAAAATAAATACATTTTAATTCATTCAGTCACTTTACATGAAAAACAGACACTCAACTAGCTCAATGTATTTTTATTTGCATATGCTTGCGAGTTGTCCAACCTAGGTTAAAGTCCTGTAGGGCCAGTGAAATGTCACTGAGCCCTAGTCTAAGCATCAAGCAGTTGGGTCACTGAATATCGGACAGATCATCGATCCCTGTCAAGGTCAAGGACAACCAACTTGCATCAGTAAATCGTACGCCATGAACTGGCCCATGAGGTAGTGGTCACACTTTCGCTAGTACTTATTCTCACTGATATACTTATGTAATAGCGTCCCTCGTGTTGTACAGTCCTCAAAGCATCCATAGTACCTTGATAAGACGAAATGTTGATCCATGTTAGGTATTGACTGAGAGGTGTGACTACGACGTTAACTGTCGGTCACATTATTCCCGCCTAGTCGACTATCGTGGCTCTTTGGTGAGTATTATCCGCCTGTAGATGCTCCTGTGTAATATGTCTGTTAAAATATCAACCACTCATAAGTATGGCCACAAGGAAACATGAATGCACATCTGTTTGTAACTTATCCACTTGTATAAACTAGAAAAGATTCACTGTCGATTGTAAATTCATGTTTCTGTTAATCACTATCAACTATCTACTAGAATTTTTTACTTACTTGGCCACTACCTGCCTAATTTCCAATTGCTGAGTTCCATGATCAAACAGAGGATACGAATGCTAAAAACTTACGATGAGTTTAAAATATAAATTTCCTTCAATCTTAGATCTCGTTTAGACTGTTCGTCGGGCAATGCTACGTATTTGGCTTAAATTAATTCTGAACTTATACAAATTCAGTCTACAACGCTGTGTTGATCGAAGAATTCAATGAACAATACCTCGTATATAATCCAGATTTGAACTACTGTCTTCTTCAAATTTCCAGCACTTGTAAGCGAGAGTAATCTAGGCGAGTTTCATAATTGGATTGGATACTTTCGTACTTTGTTTATGATACCTAATAAAGTTTCGTAGTTGCTTTCACGTAGAGTAGTCATATATTCTGTCACTGCCATCAATTTCTAGTCGACATCATGTACATTCATGACTCGTAAGCCGACATACTGTGGGAAGACGCATTGCATGTACACGAGCAATCTTAGGCCATCTCTTAACTAGACACTTCGTCGTACGTAATATGTTAGTTGACGCTAGATAAAAATCTCATTGCATCAACCTTTTACGAAATGGTCATGTTATCTGAACCTTCTAAACCTTAGTCACATTGGTGATTACCACTTTAATAAATGTTTACTACACGCTCTGTATTTTCTGTTATCTCACATGGTGAATCATGGCTGAACTTCCTTCATACACTGAAGTCATTTTAATCACGTTTTCGATTTATTTACATGCAAAACAAGTTCAGAAAATACCTAAACCACCTCTAAAATTCTCCACGAACGCCACCACAGTCTACGTATATTTTTTTATTCACACATCCGACTGTTACACTAATAATATCTAAACGAACATTCAGTGAAACTGTCAATATACGTAAGAACGATTTTATTTCGATGTAACGTTATAACACATCCGAACTATTGTAGCTATTTAATTTCGGCGCCGTACATTATTGTAGTAAGTATTGTTTCTGCGCGGCTGTTATCTAAATGATGATTTCGGTACAACAATCAACTGTTCAACTACTCGATGATTTAAAAGTTGTCCAGTTCAATCGGTCTTCTGACAACAATGTCATTCGCGCAAATCATCAGTTTACGCAGTCGAGAGAATCTCCTACATATTGTAAACGACATTCTTGTCTCCATCCTGACACTGACAGTGTTTTTCACTGGTATCATTGGCATGAGTCCAGAGTGACACTCTTGGTTCCTCATGTTCTGTTCGATACTTTTCGGATCACTTATCGAACAAACATCATCCTTTAAACACTTCATCGGGTCACCTTCGCTCTTGATCTGTAGTCCCTGACCCTTAAACAGAATTCGACAATTCCAAACGGAAGCTTCTAACGACACTGTCTGACGTCATACTTTAAACCAATAATGGTACAATCATCGACACTGATTGATAATACACTTATCGTGCTATCACTGTAGCATCATTATTCTTGCGGCAAGCTTAACGTTTCTCATCTGAGGACTTCAATCACTCGTCAAAACTGTATATTTTAACGCAATTTGATAGAACTTCAAAATGTTCTGGGTTTTTTTTCTATTATTTCTATGGTTAGTCGATTTACATTTAACCAACGTCCTGGTAATTTATTATTATTCGCTGTTTCACTGGCCCTTCAGCCGTATTGGTTGTCTGAGTCCTGTATATTATTCTCTTTGAATATAATCTGAATAAGAGTTAGCAGGATCGAGTTTGGAAAAGCCAACTTCGATGTATAATTACCATTACTATTTGTGTACTCACACATGATTTTATAGGGTCTTGAGCAGGCATCGTTTTCATCGAATTATCTAGTTTGCTTGTAATAGGACTACTCGGTAGGAGTTAAAACCAATTCAGCGTTCTTAACACGATTTAATGAAGTATTTTGCATAACAAATCAGCATCATTACCATTGGTTCGTGACATTCCACTAGACTATAAGGAGCCGTAATTAAACAAAATATTCTGCCCTACAGACATGGGTGGGTCGAAGTTATTTCCTCATCATCATGTTTGCTGACCAGTAACGCCACCCTCCCTCCTTTTGTGATGTTACGCTTTCTTACGTTTGTGGTAAGTATGAATTTTGCTTTAATCAAAGCCCATAGTCGGAATATACTGTCTCTACTAGGTCCATGTTACTAGCAAATCAGATAGTTAAAGCAATTGTACCATGGGTTGGGCATCCAATTCGGTATATATCAGTGCTATGAAGATAACTGATGGTAAAAGTTAAAAAACAGGTTAGATTATATGTAGTTTAAAGATGGTAAGGACTAACAGCAAACCAAAGGATATGAAAGAGGATAAAATTGTAGGACTTTCAGGGTAAGAAAAATAAAACACTGAGCAACTCACAAGAACTTAGGACATTACAAGCTCCGTATGATCGAACTTAGTTGACCAGCATCCATAAGATTAGTCAGCTGTCTGTCTACTCGCATTAGAAAAAACAAGTCATGACACTTAGGAAAAACAATTTATCTTTAGCCATTAGAGAGATTTGGAAACTGAAAGTGAGGGTTAGGAGAATAAAGCCATGATTAATAGTCAATGAATAATAGGAGAAGATAAACCATATGTTTTGTAATTTGGTTATATTCATATTAACAACAATGGGGCCCGTTATATTCTTGTTCCCTCTAGATATTAGGCGGTTCATAATAAAGTTCCTCATTCGTGGGTGGGAGTTCAAGGAATAGTTGAAGCTCTTTAAAGTCTAGTAACAGGGTTATTAGCCTTTTGAATTTGGTAGAAGTGTGACAGTTACTGATAGGCATTGGCAACTTGTTCCACAATGAACTATACCGCACTGTAAAAAAACTTACAACGCATTTGTTTTTAGTGTTTTACAGTAAGTAGTGTATATGCGTTGTTTCTTAGTCTATAGGCTGGGTCATGGATCATAGTTGCGCAGAAGGTTAGAAATGAGAGTCCATATATTGCTTCGTAGAGAAATATTAGATTGTTCCTTAGCCGACGGTGCTATAAAGGTTCTAAAGACAGGTGCTTACATCTTTCTGTAATCGAGATGATTATGTAAAATACTTTCTCTTTGCATATTTTGTATTTAGCTTTGCAAATCATCCTTGAACAACAAAGATAGCTGTGGTGTTTTGAGGTATTTGAATTATTATACAAACCAGGGGTACATGAAATAGCTCAGTTCAGACCATACAGAACTAGGTGAGCCCAAACGAACGCATTGTATTTAAAATTAGAATTCTGGCAGACATCGAGCACATAGGGACCATTAGCTCATAGAAACGCCGCAACCGCCACAGCTTAAATTAGAATCTTAATTTCTGTAATCGATTAAACGTGTTCTCCTAAGGTTCGTTGTATGTCAGTCAGACTGCGCATAGGATACAGACCCTGTAGCCCGCTCGCGGCACTTCCTCAGATATTATTGTTCCACATTCTCACACTTTCTCTTAAGAGCGCGTAACAAACCGTCAACGATAGTTGTAAAATAAATCACATGCTACAAAATAAAATGACAAGCCAGTAAATGATGAGACATCTATGGAATGTCGTTGATTGCTAACGGAATTAGTCGTCATTG